GTGTCATGCATGCTGCTACATACTTTCACATACGGTTGCTGAATCCCAACAATCCCACTTTACAGATGAAGAAACTAAGAATCCAGCAGGTGAAGCAGCTTGTCCAAGGTCCCACAAGCAGCAAGTAGTCTAGCCAGCACTCAAAAACCCAACCCTTCTGGATTCCCAAATCATTTATGGCACTTTCCTTGATGCCATGCCACCTCCTATGAGGCATTATCTAAGAGTTGATTATCAATGAAAGACAAATACAAGAGCAAGACCAGCAGGGTTACACCAAATGAGGCCCTCTACAGTTGCCCAAGCTGGGCAGGGCATGAACTAGTCCAACTGGCTCTTGGGTGCCAACCTCCAAAAGACCAGTGATTAAGAGAACAGAAAGGGAGAAGGAAGAAAGATGGTGGAGCCTCCTCAACTCCTTACCTTTTCTTATACCCCCCTGGAATGGCTAGCTGACAGCAAGGAACTCAGCTGGTGGTCCAAAAGTAGAGAAATGCCCTTGTCAATCCCATGCTCCAACATGGCTGCCCATGAGCTGAAACCACTACTCAAACCACCAAAGCCAAGACCATCCCGACTCACAGAAAAGAGCTTGCCTAAACAGACCAGGGTAGGGCTGGGGTTGTAGCTCAGTGGTGACGCACTTGCCTCACACTTCTGAGGCACTGGAATCAATCCTCAGCACCATATTAAATGTATTGATCTCCAACTTAAAAAAAAAATGGAAAAAAAAGAGAGAGAGAGAGAGACCAGCGTAATAGGATTGCAAAGGAGGAGCATGGCCAACTCTGCCTCACGTTTCATAGCCCCTCCCCCTGGCATAAGAGAATAACCAAGTGGAAAGTAACCATGCTATTCCCAGGAGTCAGGTGCCCTGGGCAGTGGCTGCATGTGCTGCTATGGAGTCCAACACATCTCCTCCCTCCACCCCTTAGTCCACTCCCTGATTCGAACTTCAGGCAATATGAAATCCCTGTAGCTACTCTTCCCAGTCTCCAGATAAAAATATATATGTAATCTTTCCCTTCCTGAGAAATCAATTCCATATCACAAACTGCTATGTTAGTTTAATGCTCCCAGGACATCTGTCTCTTGTTGATAGGCCAGCACTCGCCTGAGACAAGACGAGCTTCATGATGTGTAAACCTGTTGGCCACCACACCCTGAGTTCCCTGTTCCCTTTACTGACCTCTTCCAACCCTGGCAATAGAGATTTAGAGAACCGCTCAAAGGCCTGGGCTCCAGATACCCTCTAGTCACAGGCAGGTCCTGAGACTCTCACTGTTGGCCACCTGGATGATTCTAAAGCCTTAAACTGAATACACCAACTCCTTCACTCCTTTCTTTAACCAGCTTCCTACACATCTGCTTCAAACTCATAGATCATTTCCCCTCCGCCCACTTATCGGTTACCTTCCCAACTTCCCCATCTGTCAGTGGCCCCACATCCTCTCCGCAGCCAACCAGGTACTAAACTTTTTTTTTTTTAATCTTAAGTACTTATAGCTCACTATATTTAAAGAAATATAACTAGATATGTAACTTATTCCTAACAAACCTATAAACAAATAGAAAATTACTATGATATACACACACTGCTAAAAACTGAGTTGGAAAAACATCATTACTTTATTGTGACATAAGGTTATTTTCATGTTTTGTTTATTATTTTGAATTAAGTATTAGCAAAATGCGCAACACAGGAAAAGTTAATTTGAAGTTTTTTCCTCCATGGTCACCTAATAAAGATATCTAATCTTTTTATAATTAGCCGACATACCATCCTAAACCAATTAATTTTATTAGCCTGAAGAAATTAAGTGAAATAAGGTAAAAAATTCACCATTCATTTACAAAACAATTAGTATATTATTTGTTGTTCAAAGTCAATGAATAATATTGAGTACCTCCTATTTTTCCAGAATCTAAAAAACACAGTTGTTACCTTATAGGATTCTCAAAACCATTCTTTCAGATGGATAATAGTATATTTAACAGATAAGAAAAATAAGAATCAGACTGATAGGCACCCACTCAACATCACAGGCAGTAACATTCATTATAATGACTGACAATTTTCAGAAAACATCAATTTTCACATTTGTGCTGTTACCACAAAGTCTTAGCTTTACATTTCTTTCCTTAAAGTTGTATAGATACAGTGTTTTCACTAATAAGATCTTCATTGCTCTTTCCCAAATAAACAACTTAGTCTTCCTAAGTATCATCATCACCACTTATCTGTAATTTCTTGCTTATAAATTTTAATTAAATATACATTAAGTGGGAATGTATAGTATTAAATATTGCTTTATCTGTTTGGATTTCAAAAA